AACTTAGATACATAAAGTTAGTTTTACTATTCTTTTATTACTTCTATAATTTATGTTATGATCCTTCCTCACATTCACCTACGGAAACATTGTTACAACTTATACTTCCCCTAGATAGTCAAGTTAGACCATCTTCTCAGTGCTCTGCCAGGGCCATGGGCCAACCTTGGTGGGGCTGATCCAAGGACCTCACTAAACCATAACAATCGGTAATTGACAGGTGGTGTGTACAAAAGGCAGGGCATATACCATGGGCTGCCAGAAGAGTGAACAAATCTGTCCTGGAAGAAGTACAGCCAGAATGCTCCTTAGAAGCGAGGGTGGCAGGACTTCATCTCACGTACTTTGGACATGTTACCAGGAGGAACCTGGCCCTGGGGAAGGATATCATGCATGATAAAGTAGAGGGTCAGTGAAAGAGAGGAAGACCCTCAGTGAGATGGATTGACACTGTGGCTGCAAAGATGGTCTCAATCATAACAATGATTGGAGGATGTCGCAGGACCGGGCAGTGTTTTGTCCTGGTGTACATAGGGTGGCTATGAGTCGGAAGTGACTCGACGGCACCTACCAACAACAACAACAATCTATGTTATATCTGTAATTGTGGCGCCTTTTCATTCATAATGTTTCATTGTGCCTTCTTTCTTTTCTTCCTGATTACCCTGATCATTTTTTTCCCCTGAGATTTGTCAATATTTTAAAGAATCAACTTTTAGCTCTGTTTGTTTTCACTACTTGATTTCTATGTCATTGATTTTTGCTCTTATGTATATTATCTTGTTCCTTTTTCTTGTCTTTTTGGTAACTTCTTAAGTTTTATGCCTATTTAATTTATTTTCAATACTTTTTTTTTCTTATGTAAGCCTACTTGGCTTAAATTTTACTTAAAATACTCCTTTGGCTGGGCTCATACATTTTGACTGAAATTTCTGTTTGAGTATTCTTTTTTTAAAGAAGAAGTCTTAAGTATTTGTATTATAGCCTGAGAACATGTTTTATATCATACTAATTCTTTAAAAATTGATTAAGACTTGCTTTATGATCTAATATATTGTCACTTTTTGTAAATGTTCCATTTGTGCTCGAGAAAATATATTTCTTATATGATTGTTAAGATTATGTGTCACCTTGGCTGGGCCATGATTCTCAGTGTTTATGTGTGATCACTCCCATGATGGAATTCGCTGTGAGTAGCCAATCTGTTGAAAGGACATTTCCTTGGGGGTGTGGCCTGCATCCAAATATAAGCGACATTCTGACTTTTTGCTTGCTCTGGATCTTGCTGCTGCCTCCTGTTCATCTGACCTCTGGTTCTTGGGACTTGAGCTATGAGCTTATCTGCTGATCTTGGAATTCGTCGATTTTCACAGCCTGGGAGCTGGAGGCCTGCTCGCCAACTTGCTGATCTTGGGTTTGCCAGCCCCTGCAGCTAGTGAATCAGGAGAAGTCTTGCGGTCTTGCCTGCCAATCTTGGGATTTGTGGATCTTCACATCCTGTAAGCAAGAACCCTGCTCTCTGGCCTGCAGAACTTGGGTTCGCCAGCCCCTGCAGCTATGTGAATCAAGAGAAGCCTCTATCCTGATCCATGGGCTTGGGACATTCTTGCCTCTACAATCACGTGAGCAGTTTTCTTGATACAAATCTCTCTATATATATATTTATACACTTTACTGGTTTTGCTTCTCTAGAGAACCCAGCCTAAGACACCTTATGTGAAATCTTAATTCCTTTTTTTTTTTTCTTGCACAAAGGTAGATAGATAGTTTCCACTGAGTCACCTCTGACTCATGGAGACCTTATGTACAACTAAACGAAATGTTGCCTGGTCTTATTTCATCCTTAAGATTGCCAGCATATTCGAGTCCATTGTTTCTGCTATTGTGACAACTCATCTCACCAAGAATCTCCCTCACCCTTGTCGGTCCTTTATTTCACCAAATATGATGCCCTCTAGCAATTAATCCCTCCTGATGACGTGTCCAAAGGAAGTGAGTTGGACAATGTTCTGTTTTGGTCCATAAAGTTTTCATTGGTTTATTTTTGGAAGTAGATCACCAGGCCTTTCTTCCTAGCCTGTCTTAGCCTGGAAGTGTCAGTGAAACCTGTCCACCATGAGTGACCCTGCTGGTATTAAAATACCAGTGGCATAGCTTACAGCATCATAACAACACGCAAGCCACCACAGTATGACAAACTGACAGACGAGTGATGGATTGACAGGTGGTGGACTGACAGACATACAAAGGGTAAAAAAAAAAGCAAAACCTGTTGCTGTCAAGTCAGTTCTGACTCATAGTGACTCTATAGTACAGAGTAGAACTGTCCTATAGGGTTTCCAAGTAATGGCTGATGGATTTCAACTGCCAACCTTTTGGTTAGCAGCCAAGCTCTTAACCACCACACCACCAGGGCTCCTTACAAAGGGTGGCATACTATATATTTCATTTGCATCTTGCTGTTTTCATTTAACAATATATCTTAAAAATTACTCCGGAGCAGTTCATAGCAAACTTGTCTACCATTTGTTACAGCTGCATTCTATGCCATCATGTGCATACCCCATAGTCATATAGCCAGTCTCTTGTATATGGACATTCATGTGGTTTGTGATATTTCGTTATTACAAATAATGCTGAAAGGAACAGCCATGTGCATATCCTCTGTACTGTTGGAGATGTAACTTCGGGGTAAATTTCCTGAAGTGAGATTTGCTGATTAAAAAGCTAAATGTATGTGTAGTTTTGTGAGCTATTGCCAAATTTCCCTCCTAGAAGTTGTATCATTTTGTATTCACACGGAAATATAATGGTGCCTGTGTCCCATAGTCTTGCTAACAGCTTTCTGTCATGCTTCTGAATTTTTGCCAAATGATATTTGAGAAATAGTATCTCCATGTAGTTTTCATTTGCAATTCTCTCATTATGAGTGATGTTGATCATATTTTCATAGGTTAAAAGGAGCCTTGGTGGCACAAGGTTTAAGAGCTCAGCTGCTCAGTTGGCATTTCAAACCCACGCAGCCACTCTCAGGCAGAAAAACTTGGTGATCTGCTCCTGTAAAGATTACAGCCTAGAAAATCCTATGGGGCAGTTCTACTCTGTCATATGGGGTCATTATGAGTCCAAACTGACTCGACTGAAATTGACTCAACTGATGGCACCTAACAACAACAAGAACCATTTGAATATCTTTGATGGTGAACTATGTGCTCCTATGTTTTGCCGTGTTTTACCTGCCTTTCTCTGTCCTAGGACATTGTTCTAAAGGGTTGCTGCCCAATAAACAGAACTTTGAGTGACGCTGGAAATGTACTATATTGACACTGTCCAATACAGCAGCCACCAGCCCCTTGTGGCTTTTAAAATCTTGTTATTTAATTTAATTTTTATTGTGGTAAAATATATATAACAAAAATTTTCCATTTTGACCATTTTTATGTGTACAATTCAGTGACATTAATTACATCCATCATGTTGTACAACCATCGCCAAAAGCTTTTCATTGCCCAAACAGAAATTCAGTACCCCTTAAGCAATAACTCCCTATTCTCCTCTCCTCTCAGCCACTGGTAACCACTAGTAAACTTTTGTCTCTATTCATTTGCCTATTCTAGATATTTCATATAAGTGAGATCATACAATGTTTGTCCTTTTGTGTCTGACATTTCAGTCAGCATGATGTTTTCAAGGTTCATTCATACTGCAGCACGTACCAAGATTTCATTTCTCTTTATGGCTGAGTAATATTCCATTGTACATAAATACATTTTGCTTATCCATTCATCTGTTGTTGGACTCTTGGGTTGTTCCTGTCTTTTGGCTATTGTGAACAATGTTGCAATAAGCACTGGTGTACAAATATATACTTGAACTCTTGCTTTCAAGTCTTTTGGTTATATACCTAGGAGTGGAATTACTGGGTCATATGGTAATCCTATGTTTAACTTTTTGAGGAACTACCAAACTGTTTTCCATAGAAGCTACACCATTTTACATTCCCACCAGCAATACAAAAGGATTCCAATTTCTCTACATCCTCGGCCAACACTTGCTGTTTTCCTTCTTTTAGGAGGGATATGGCCATTCTAGTGGGTGTGAAGTGGTGTCATCTTGCATCTTGCTAATGACTAATTACATTGAGCATATTTTAATGTGCTTATTGGCCATTTGAATATCTTCTTTGGAGAAATTTCTATTCAAGTCCTTTGTCATTTTTTAATTGGGTTATTTGTCTTTTTGTTGTTAAGTTGTAGGAGTTTTTTAGATATTCTGGATATTAAACTCTTTTCAGATATATGGGTTCAAATAATTTCTCCCATTCTGTCAATTGTGTTGCCATATTTTAATAATGAGTTTGGGGCTTATTTTCATTGATTTTTACAGAGATCTCTACATATTAAGAATATTAGCACTTAATTTGTGATATATATTACAAATATTTCCTCCCAGTTGGTAATTTTTTTTACTACAAAAAATACTAGTTTTATGCAATTAAATGTATCTTTTCTTTCTTTGTATATGGACCCAGTCACAGTTAGACTTTCCTTATAACCTGATTGTAAAAGAATTCATCCATGGGTTAATTTAGTAATTCCATGTTTTTGGTATTTTCATTTATATTTTTGCTCCATTTGCAGCATTTAACATTAAAAAACATTTATATTTTTCTTCTTTTGCCTGTAAATTCTCTTGTAACTAGGAAACAGAATAAATTACATCTTTCAGAAAAGGAAACAACTTTAGCAAAAGGAGAGCATTAGTTATGTCAGAGGAGGAGTTGTCCCTTGCCAAAGCCCAACTCCCACATAGAAAAGGACATAAGGGGTAGGCAGAGGAGGAGGGAACAAGGGCTCCCTGCACTGCCCTGGATCGACCAGAGGGGGCAGTCAGGATAATCCTTTCTCCTTTCTTTGCCTCCCTCTCCACACTTCAGCTGCTCCAAGAAAGTCCAGTGACTTCTTGGCCACCCTCAGAAGCTGACTGCTGCAGGCAGAGTCATGGCACCCCAGGCTCTGCTGCCCATTCTGCTCCTGTGTGTGCTGCTGCTGCAGGCCCAGGGAGGGCCCCGCAACCACCACTGGAAGACCCACCCTAGTAGGTGATGGGCTGAGAAGGGGGCCAGGGAAGGGGGCAGGAGGGGCTGTGTCCAGTTTGAAGAAAACCTGGGAATTGGTACCTCTCAGCACATCCAGATTTGACCGCAGGCCATGAGGACACAGGGCCCTCCCACACCATGGCCTCCAGCCCCTTCAATGGCCCTGGGAATAATGATGGGGGAGAGGGGGCAACCTACATCGTTTATTCCCCATTCCACAATCCCAGAGACAAATGGTGCACAGAGTAGTGAAAAGTGCGCCAGGGCTGAGTCAAATGGGAGAAGAGAATAATTAGTCTTTGTGAGGGATAAACATATTCAGAGATGCAGGTAGGTGTAGAAAGAAAATTTTTGGTCTACTGGACCAAGTTCCAGTTATCATTAGAAGGACCAGGACACAGGTGATGGTAGAAGAATGACTAAAAGTGGTGAGTTCTGGGCAGAAATCCTGGAGACAGTGAAGTCATGAGAGGAGGGAGGGAGGAGAACACGTTCGCTTCCCTCTCTGGGACCCTGAAAGGTCTGGAGAATGGGGGAGGGTGGAGGGACCTCTCAGGCTTAGTTGAGTTCTCAGGGTCAGAGCATAGATTATATGGGGTGACCTCACCAAGGCCATGACTGATAGGGAGACAGGGCCCGGTAGCAGATGTGGGGAGAGAGTTCAGGAGGTCCAGGCGCTGGGAGGCCTACTGAGGCGGGAGGGAGGCATAGGATTTAAACTAAGAACGATCCATAGGATTTGGAGGGGCAGGATGGGATTTTCCTGAAAAGTTCGGGAATGGTGTAAGTGGGGTCTTAGAGGAGACTATCAAGCTTGAGAATGGGATGCTGTCTAGGCACCTGGTTCTACTGACCCTGCCTCCTGCCCCGTTTCAGAACCACAGAGACTCGCAGAAATCAAGGTCTGTGACAAGCAGCCGAGCATACATCAGTGCAGTCGCCACTGTTCTTATTTCCAAGAGTGTCAAGCCAATAACATATGCTGCTCAACCTTCTGCGGGAATGTCTGCATGAGCCTCTCATGAGTTGGTGGCTGGGCTGTGCCTCCTTGCTCCCTCTACTCTCTCTGCAGAGACTGTGCCCATGACTGAAGCAGGAAGATGATAAATCCAGGCCATCAACAGGAATGCTGTCCTCCCTACTGTGTGAACTACTTGTCCCTGTCAAATAAACCAGGGCAAGTCCAGGGATCCTGCCTGTGTACTCGAACTCCTATACTCATTACTAACCCAGTGCAGCGCCCACACTTGCCCCACCCCCTTGTGTGCCCAGGTCCCCACCTCCCTCTCCTGGTCATGCTTTTTTACTCTCTCTCTCTCTTTGGCCCACGTAACAGTGCCAAGCCCAGAAGGCTCAGCCCTTTTTTGCTCTGCTCGCTGACCCAAAACTCCTAGGGAGTGAAACTGCTCAAGTGTAGCCTCTTCAAATGCTAAGGAGAACATTCCTGCATCAGAAGGGCCAGGTTGAGCCCTGTGGAAGTTACAACCTGACCACAGAGTGGGAGTCCCCCAAGGGACTCTTTACTACGTTGACGAAAATAAACCCCAGGGAAGTGAGGTAACATGCCCAGGGCCAAAAGAGAGGGAGAAGACATGACTCGGCTTGAGGAGCGTGTTTCCTCTGGATTCCCTCTGTTTGCTCTCTTTAGCTCCTTTGTGGAGAGACCAGAGGCATGGAAATCAGTGCCTATGCTCACCCCATGCCTTCTGCTCCTTCATCTACATGTATGGCCACCCTACCACGGGTTCTGGAACTGGGTGCCAGGAGCTGTGACTCTGGTGCCTTCTACACTAGGGCTCCCTACTGTTCCCAGTCCTCTTCCCTATGTTCTCATTCTCTTTTCTCTTAATTTAGAGAAAAACCATGGGGTAGGAAAACACGTGGTTCATGTTGATGCCACTAAGAATAAATGGCACAGGGTGGCTATGGGTCTTGCCCATGGTCCCATAGTCCCAGTGAACATTCATTCCTGGGATACAGATTTTTTCCCACTGTGCAATCACACCTCCTCTGAAATGGTCCCGGGCTAGATCCAGGAACTTGCTCACATGTAACCAATTGGGATATGGAGTTACTTTTGAAGAGGGCTCAGGCAGGCAGGCCGTGCCTGGAGGCAGGCGTATTGTTGTAGGCTCTAGTCCAGTGCTTCTTGCAGGGCCTAAATGAAGGAGGCATCAGAGGAGGAAATCTGCCTCCATCAGACCAGGGCCTCTGACCCACCTCTAAAGCATCATACGTGGGGTATTCTCAGTTCTTCACCTCTGCCAAGAGTTGCCCTTGTTTAAGAATGCTAAGGGTGATCATTCATAAAATACTAGGGAAAGAAACACAGGAGACACAAACTTACTAAAAGTCACACAGCAAGTCAGTGTTTTTGAAGGAAAATGCCAACCCATCTCCTTATCCCTAGCAAGTGACTGTGTGGTGGCTTCACCAACAAAGTTTGTGGCTTTCTTCCTAAGAAAATTCACATAGCACCTATATTCTTAGGACTAAAGATCATTGTCATGGATTGAATTGTGTCCCCTAAAAATATATGTATCAATTTGGCTAGGCCACGATTCCCAGTATTGTGTGATTATCCACCATTTTGTCATCTGATGTGATTTTCCTATGTGCTGTAAATCCTACCTCTATGATGTTAATGAAATGAGACAGGCGGCAGTTATGTTAATGAGGCAGGACTCAGTCTACAAGATTGGATTGTGTCTTGAGCCAATCTCTTCTGAAATATAAAAGAGAGAAGCAAGCAGAGAGACAGGGGGACCTTATACCACCAAGAAAGCAGCACCAGGAGCAGAGCACATCCTTTGGACCCTGGGTTCCTGCATGGAGAAGCTCCTAGTCCAGGAGAAGATTGATGAGAAGGACCTTCCTCTAGACCTGATGGAGACAGAAAGTCTTCCCCTGGAGCTGACACCCTGAATTTGGACTTCTAGCCTACTAAACTGTGAGAGAATACATTTCTCTTTGTAAAAAAAAAAAAAAAAAAAAAAAAAAGAGTTGCCCTTGGATTAGGGGGTCTTAGGAAGGGGATCATGATATCATTAGAGGTAGGTGGGCAATAAGCATATGGTCTCTAAGAGCTCTTAGTTGGTACTTTCTCAGAAAGCCTCATTATCCAAAGCATCTTCCCAAGCTATGCCCCAAACACCCATAGTAAAGACTATTAAGAGAGGGAAAGTCACCTGCTACAGACCACATAAGGAATGATTTCCCAACTCTAAGTGCAGTGCTCTCAAAGCGTGGGCTCACCCTGCATGCTAGGTCAATCAAATCCTGTATCAGCCACTCACTAGCTATGTGGCCTTAGGCAAGTTGGTTAACTCCTCTGTGCCTCAGTTTCTGCATCTGCAAAATAAGAATAACAGTAGTACTAAACTTATAGGGTCATGAGCAGTATTAGTTAATATATGCTAAATATCTGACATATAGAGAATTTGGTGTTAAACTGGGTGATTCCAGATACTTAGTGGATAAGTGTTTCATTCATTTATTTAACAAACATTACATAGTAAATTCTTAACATATAATAACTCATGGAATCCTCACAACAACACTAGGAAGAAAGTACTGTTATTATCTCCACTTTTAATAATGAGGAATTAGAGGCACAAAGAGGATTAGTGACCTGGCCAAAATAAGTCAGAGCCAGGATTTGAATCTAGGTTAAGTCCATGTTTTAAATCGCTATGTTATGTGGCCTTTTCCAAGCTCTCTTGGTAGAGATCTCTCTTTTCATCAGCACAAAAGCCACAAGACATTGGGATAAGGAAATGTGAGACTGATGCTAGCAGTGGGGAAACTAATATAGAGATGGGTGGGACTTTGCAAAGGTCACAAAAAATGTGTATGTATGTGTTGGGCTTCAGGAGGCTCTTGCAGATCCAGTCTTCTGTCCCTACTTAAATTGCCTACAACAAAAAGAAAAAATAAGTACTTCTTGAGTAGGAATTCAGTGACAATGTTCTATATGTACTCAATTTATGGCTTAAGGGTAGAACTCACAGATACGTCACGACTAGATCATGATTAAATTTGGAGTCTGAAACTTGTTCTTATCATTGTCTGCTCCCTGTGCTGGGGCTCCACAGTTCCTAGAGTCCAAAAAGAAGAACCATCAACCAAATAATTACCAGGATCTCTGATACCTCCAGAGGTAGTTGGGGTCAGAGTACTGGGGCTGGGGGTGTGAGGTCACAAAAATTTTCCTTTGTAGCTTGCTCAGATGGATTCCTGTTATGGATTGAATTGTGTCCTCCAAAAATGTGTGTCAACTTGGCTAGACCATGATTCTCAGTATTGTGTGATTGTACACCATTTTGTCATCTGAGGTTATTTTCTTATGTGCTGTAAATCCTACCTCTGTGGTGTTAATAAGGCAGGATTAGAGGCAGTTATGTTAATGAGGCAAGACTCAATCTACAAGATTAGGTTGTATCTTGAGTCACTCTCTTTTGAGGTATAAAAGAGAGACGCGAGCAGAGAGACGGGGGACCTCCCACTGCCAAGAGAGCAGACCAGGAGTGGAGCATGTCCTTTGGACCTGGGGTGCCTGTGCTGAGACGTTCCTAGACCAGGGGAAGATTGATGACAAGGACCTTCCCCTAGAACTGACAGAGAAAGAAAGGCTTTCCCCAGAGATGACACCCTGAATTCAAACTTCTAGCCTCCTAAACTGTGAGAAAATAATTTGTTTGTTAAAGCCATCCACTTGTGGTGTTTCTGTTTTAGCAACACTAGATGACTGAGACAGACAGTGATCAAGGTTAAAAACCAAAAAACCAAACCTGTTGCTGTCAAGTTGATTCTGACTCATGGTGACCCGTGTGTGTCATAGTAGGACGGAGCTCCATAAGGCTTCCACTGGCTGTAATCTTAAGGAAGTAGATCACCAGGTTTTCTTCTGTGGCATTGTTGGGTGGATTTTAACTGCCAACCTTTCAGTTAGTAGCTTAGCACAAACCATTTGTGCCACCCAGGCTGCCTTGATCCAGGTTAGAATGACTTAATATTTTAAAACTATCAGCTCTCTGTACTTATTTTAGATTCAATGTTATTCCACCAAAAATCTGACACTAATTTTTGAAATGATTTAGGAGAACCAATTGGATTCTCCCATGAAATGTGGGAAGGAGGGACTGGATGTCAGAGGACTCTTTTTTCCTAGGATTCCACCAGGGATGGGGGAGAAGAAAGCAGAGCCCCACCCTCAGAATTTCTGTTTCTTCCCTCAACAACACAACACAAATAGCAATGCAGTAAATTGCTCCCATGTAGAGTGGTCAAATCGCTCCACTTTGCCTGGGACTTTCCCAGATTTAGTAGTGACGGTCTTGGAACCAGGAAACCCCCGAGTCCCAGGCAAACTGGGATGGTGGGAAGAAGAAACTTTAGATCAATTTAAATTACTGAGTCATTGCTACAATTTGGACTGGCCAGACAGTCAGGAGTCCTGGGCTCGGACACTAAGTCACTGTCTTTTTTGGGTCCACTGTACTGCCTGTGAGCTCCAAAATGACCTGCCTGAAGCCATGTATCTCATCATAGCTCAGCTCACACTAGAATGTGGCTGCTTGAGCCCAGATAAAGATTTTGTTTCTTCATCAGGCTGTGCTCTACACCAGGCTTCATGGACATCAGACATGTGAGATTATCTCAGTGCTGGGACTTGTTATGGTACTTCAGCGTTTGGGGTAGCCATCAACAAACTGTGGGGAATAGGCAATAAGCGAGGTGCTGCAGGTAAAGTAGTAAACTAGATAGAGGTGCATACTGTTATCTACATTTTACAGGTAAGAAAACTGACCCAGAGGGGGTCAGCATCTCCCAACACTCCACAGTTGGTAAGCAATAGAAAGAGGTTGCAAAGCCAGTGCTTTAGCTCTCAACCACTCACTCTCTCTGTTGCACTATTTGCATCAAGATAGCAAATGGTGTACGTTTTGGGGGAAAAAAACTTCTCTCTGCAATTGGAAGGGTAGAGCTTCAAGAACTGAAGGGTTTTCGATCGGAAAAAAGCTACCTGGCTCTGGAGTGGGAGTAGTTGGAAGTGCTTGGTTTTCTTAGGCCCTCATTGATTCAAAGAGACAATGAAAGGCCAGTCACAGCTTGGATGGCTCCACCTTCCCCTCTTCCCTCCCTTTTTTCAGCAGTGCCTGATCAAACACAGCAGTCCTGGGCCTGGACTTCCCACATGTTCTGACGCACCATGAAGTTGTTGTTTCTCCAGCTTCTGCTGTTATTCTGCCTAGCACTGCAGCTGGTTCCTGGGAAAGTCAAGCAACGCCGTAAGAGTAGGTGCTGGCTCTGGGCCCAGGGGAGGGGAATAGCATCTGTGGACAGGAGGGGACCTGAGGGCTGACAGTCTGGGCACCCCTAGTAAAGAAAGGCGGTGTCATGTTAAAGGGGTCACACTTTATTGTCAATATTTGAATCCCTGCTCTGTTGCTTACTGAGGGACAAAGGGTGTGAGCCTCAGATTTATATTTATCTTTATAATGGAAATAATGACATTGGGATAGTTAGGAGGTAAAACTGAGATAACCCATGTAGAGACAGAGTGCTCTTACCAGACCCTGGTAATTATTCAATAGTATTAACTTGTAAATGTCATCAACTTCACCATCTAGCTTCTTTCCTCATGGTTACTTGGGCCACCTTCTCAAGCATAAAAGCACAGAAGAAAATTAAATTCATAAAACTTAAGCTGAAGTCTATATAACCTTGACCTTGGAAGTTGTGGGAGGAAGGTGAAGGAAGTCTTGCCATCTTCCCCCCATATTTTAAAAATCCAGAGGTAAATGAACAATTAGTAGTGATTTGTATCAATAGAACAGAATAGACTCCATCTCAGCAGCCGCCACTGTCCAGATGAACCCAACAAGACCACTGGGTTACAGTCATGCTGGCCTTCAACCAAAATCAAATGGGAGATGAACTAGTATTCATTATGCTTGTACACTTCTGTGGGGGGAGCATCTTTCAGAATATTGAAGGCTCAGAAGAGGTCATGTATGGTAGCTCACGTGTTGTGGGGAGACAGAGGGGGCTATAGGACCTGGAGGAGAATGTGGGTGTCAGAGGTAGGGTTAATTGGAGAGTCAACGGAGAGTCACAGGAGATTTTCTAAAAGACTGGTTAGTGCTGTGAGCAAGATTGGGACCAGCTATCCAAGAGAGGGTGTGAAACTTGAGAAGGTTGACCTCTCTGAGATCCCTGGTTCATGGCCTCCATGAATGCCTGGGAGGCCTAGAATGAGTGCTGGGTTACTGGTCTCTGCCAAATTCTCAGTTTATAGCTTGGCCTCAGCTTCTTTCACCATTTTTCTGGTGCCATTTGCTGTTGCAATTATAGCTCCAATATCATTTCTCTTTCTTTCCTTTCAGATCAGTGTATTATCCTACAGATCGCCTTCCAATTGCAATTATCTAGAGAACAACAAATCAATGGGGCCTTATAGAATGCCCACACCTATAACACTTGCCCCTAGAAAGGCCAAGTTTCAGAGTACAAAAATTAGGGCCTGGCAGGTCTTGGGGAAGGGGACGAATGGGGCCTATTATCAATAGCTTAGAGCTCACGGAATGTAGAGGAGCCTGTGGTTGGGGCCTTTGGGGAGGATCTCCTAGAGGAGGCAGTGCTTGGTTTTGATCTGGAATATTAGGGAGCAATGGTGTGTTAGCATAAAGATGCTTATTCTTCTCTAACAGTAGAAAGTGGAGGCAGCTTGGTGTTCTGGCTCTCTGATCAGAAAAGACCAGTGAAGAAGAAGAAACTGAATCTCTGTACCCCATTTGGAAATTTCCACCCTTCTCACCCATGAAACAAGTCATTCTCAGAATTTACTTGTGAATTCAGTTCTAGCTCTCTGATCTCAGCACTTTCAGTGTGCTGTGGAGTCTTTGTCCTTTCCCAAACTTCCCTTCCACTCATTCTTCCTATGCAGAAATAACTCATGTTAGGTTGACCCTAGGAAAAGAGTGCTGTTAGTGAGAGGCAGCACCACTTGCTTAGGACCACATGCTAAGTCAACACAGAATCCATGTACAAACACCTTTCTTGTTTACCACACACACAATTCCCTGAACTGGGCCTGACCAAGACCTAGGGAGACTTGGCATCTGACCTTCAATGATAGTGAATGGTCAATGGATGTAAGGTCTGCCCAACCCTGTCTTGGATCAAATATGGTACGATTTCCCTGTTCAGAAAGCAGAGGAAGGAAGTGGTGAAGGTTTCACTTTCCTGTGACAATACCAGTGAGGTCACAGGGACAGGAGGACAGCTTCCTGGGTGTTGGGAGTCTGAATGTCACACCCATAGCTGTTGTTGGGTCTTTATTTTATCTCTTCTGTGTTCCAGAGTATATCTTTGACCCCCCACCCTGCAAGTCTGCACCGGAAAGCTGTACCCAAGTCTGTGTACATCATGAAGATTGCCAAATAGGACTTGAGTGTTGTTCTTCCTTCTGTGGAATAGTCTGTTCAAGGAACAAAAAGTCAATGAGCAAGAGGTAAGAAGTCTTGACCCATAGCTTTGCTAAGAGCCCAACAGAAGCGTCTCTTACCAACCACTATGGTGGAGTTTCTTCTTCTTCTCCTTCTTCCTCCTTTTCCTCTTCCTCCTTTTTTGGTTGCCACGTTCCTAACATTCTTCTTCTCTTTACCAAGGATGATTTTCATAAATGATCTACTTAGAAGATACCTCTCCCATTCCCTAAAGTATGTAATTTCCCTCTCCCTGTTACTCTTCTCCGTGGGTCTCTGACTCGACTACTCTGAACACACTCTCAAACGCTTCCATCCACAGACCCAGCGCTGTCCCAGATCCACCTTTATCTCTAGGCCTGGGGCAGAATATCTGGGGCCCCAAAGCATCAGCCAAAACCCTAAAGCAAAATTGGTTTCCATTTACTCTCCCTCCTTTCACCAAATGCCATCCTTTGGCCTCACTGTTCTCAGGCTCTGGAGATCCAGCCCAACAGAAGCTTGGTTTTGTTGCCTGGACATTACCACTATCCTGCAGTCAGCTGACTGGAGAGCTCTCCTGTGGTAGAGAAGGGGCAATAGAGTGTTGATGAGAAATCCTAGCTTCCAATCCCATCTTGCAACCAAGTCTTTCTATGGCTTTGAGTAAGACAATTCCCTTTTTCTCATCACTAAAATGGAAACTCTGTTTTTTCCTGTCTTGCAAGAATGTTATAAGGCCCAATTGAGGTACCAGAAGCCCCAAAGGCAGAAGACTCAACAGTGAGCTCCTTCAGAGAAGCCTGACCTTTTCTCTGCTGTGTTCTTTCTCCTGAGCACAATACACCATTTATGAGACAACGTGTAGAATGATTAGGTCTGGGCTCTGGAGCCAAATGTTGTTGTTCGGTGCCATTGAGTTGGTTCCGAGTCATAGCAGCCTAAGTACAATAGAACGAAACACTGCTCGGTCCTGCACCACTCTCACAATTATTGCTATGTCTGAGCTCATTGTTGCAGCCACTGTGTCAGTCCATCTCACTGAGAGTCTTCTTCTTTTTAGCTGACTCTCTACTTTATCAAGCATGATGTCTTTCTCCAGGGACTGGTCCCTCCTGATAACATGTCCAAAGTACGTGAGACGGAGTCTTGCCATCTTTGCTTCTAAGGAACATTCTGGCTCTACTTCTTCCAAGACAGATTTGTTGGTTCTTCTGGCAGTCCATGGTACATTCAATATTCTTTGCCAACACCATAATTCAAAGGCGTCAATTCATCTTCAGTCTTCCTTACTCGTTGTTCAGCTTTCTCATGCATATGAGGTGACTGAGAATACCATGGCTTGGGTCAGGTGCACCTTAGTCCTCAAAATGACATCTTTGCTTTTTAACACTTTAAAAGGATCTTTTGCAGCAAATTTGCCCAATGCAATATGTCGTTTGATTTCTTGACTGCTGCTTCCATGGGCATTGACTGTGGATCCAAGTAAAATGAAATCCTTGACAACTTCAATCTTTTCTCCGTTTATCATGATATTTCCTATTGGTCCAGTTGTGAGGATTCTCGTTTTCTTTATGTCAAGATGTAATCCATGTCAAAGGCTATAATCTTTGATCTTCCTCGGTAAGTGCTTCAAGTCCTCTTCACTTTCAGCAAGCAAGGTTGTGTCATCTGCATATCGCAGGTTGTTAAAGAGTCTTCCTCCAATCCTGATGCCATGTTCTTCTTCAAATAGCTGGACTCAAATCCTGGTTCTACCACTTCCTAGCTGTGTGACTTTGGACAAGTTACTTAACCTCTCCAGGCCTCAGCTTCCTCATCTGTTGTTGTTGTTAGGTGCCATTGAGTCAGTTTTGATTCTTAGTGACCCCATGTGACAGAGTAGAACTGCCTCATAGGGTTTCCTAGGCTGTAATCTTTTTTTTTTTCTAAGTTAATACTAATTTATTTTCAGTAGTATATAAAAACTTTTGCTCTATGTAGCTCCATTCCCTTGTCCCCCTTTGTGATATTATTGTCATACAAATTACATCTTTTTAAATATAATTTTTGTTGTTGCTGAGAATATACTCAGCAGAACATACACTAATTCAACAGTTTCTACATGTACTTTTCAGTGATATTGATTACATTCTTCAAGTTGTGCAACCATTCTCACTGTCCTTTTAAATTCTGTTCTGCCTTTTCCCCTTTTGATCAGGATTCTTCTACAGAATCTTTGACAAAAATCTAGCCTGTAATCCTTATGGAAGCAGATCACCAGGTATTTCTCCCTCGGAGCTGCTGGCTGGGTTCGGACTGCCAACGTTTTAGTTAGCAGCCAAATGCTTAACCATTGTGCCACCAGGGAGCCCTCATCTGTAGGACTGGAATAATAATAGTGAGAGTAGAGTAGATAATCCAGGTAAAGTTCTAAAAACGTTGTTTTCCACATAATAATTGTCTAGTAAATTTTAGCAACTAGGCAACCAGTTCTCTGTCAAGAGCCTGGCCCTTGCAATTAAACTCCACTTCTTTCTGGAATGCAGAGCCATAAATATGACTCATCATTGTTGCTGAGTTCTTTGAGGTTCTGCTTTCCCTATGGTAGGAGGACTCAGCTTCATGGTGCAATTTAAATGATAGGAAGTTTTGAAACATTAAAAAAAAAGAAAACTCTAAGAATAAAACTTCACCAGATAATATTATAAAATATTTTCCTGCTATAGACACATAGAAACTCAGGAACCACCATTCCTGGCCCTTGTGGTTTGTTTCCCAGGATATTTTGTAAGGTTAGGGGCTTGCCTGGCATTCTAGGTTCTGCCTGGTTCACACAGGTGTAAGATCTCCTGGGAATGCTCTTTTTCTCCTCCGGCCTCTCCAGGAGCACAGCTATTTCCACAGGGCCTAAATGTCTTCTGTCATCAGATCGTACCCTTTTTTATTCTTCACCTTCACGGGACAGCTTCATGCTTCCCTGGAGCAGAGTGAGGTCCAGGGTGAGTTCTGGAATACAGAGAGCATGAGGAGGTAGTTCCACGGCCCCCAGGCGGCACTCAGGGCCCTCAGGGATTAGAGTTTGCCAGGAAACAGGTTCTTCCAGCCTCAGGGTTGGAAGCGCCCTGGCAGGGGGTCAAGTGAGCTCCCCATGGCCCTGTGGTCAGGGGTAGCTCACCGTACCTTTCTGAGACTCCTAGCTTCCTCATGTGGAAGATGAAGAGAACATCTGTGCCTTGGCTGTGTGAGGACTACATGTGGGCGCTTAGATAGAAGAACTTTGTCACTGCAAAGTAACCTGAAAGGATAAAGCTGTGCTGCCGGCAACTCATTTATGATGTTGCTCTTTCTGGGCTCTGGCTTTTTCTATTAAAAAAAAGGGGAACCATCTTGATTACTTTATTGATGTTACAAGAAAGGTGAACAAAATGTTATTGTTGTAGTTTGGTGCTATCCAGTTTTTTCTGACTCATAGGGACCCTACATACAACAGAACGAAACACTGCCTGGTCCTGCACCATCCTCACAATCTTTGTTATGTTTGAGCTCATTGTTGCAGCCACTGTGTTAATCCATCTAATTGAGGGTCTTCCTCTTTTTTGCTGACCTTAACTCCACAACCAAAACAAACTTTGTTGTTGTTGTTGTTAGGTGCCGTTGAGTCGGTTCTGACGCATAGCGACCCTATGTACAACAGAACGAAACACTGCCCCGTCCCACACCATCCCCACAATTGTTATGCTTGAGCCCATTGTTGCAACCACTGTGTCAGTCCATCTCACCAAGGGTCTTCCTCTTTTTCGCTGACCCTCTACTTTACCAAGCATGATGTCCTTCTCCAGGAACCGGTCCCTCCTGATAACATGTCCAAAGTATGTGAGACGTAGTCTCGCCATCCTTACATTTTGGTTGTACTTCTTCCAAGACAGATTTTTTTGTTCTTTTGACAGTCCATGGTATATTCAATATTCTTCGCCAACACAATTCAAAGGCGTCAGTTCTTTCTTGGTTTTCCTTATTGCTTGTCCAGCTTTTGCATGCACATGAGGCGATTGAAAACACTATGGCTTGGGTCAGGCACACCTTAGTCTTCAAGGTGACATCTTTGCTTTTCAACACTTTAAAGAGGTCTTTTGCAGCAGATTTGCCCAATGCAATGCGACTTTTGATTTCTTGACTGCTGTTGATTGTGGATCCAATTAAAATGAAATCCTTGACAACTTCAACAAAAATACTATTCATAATTTAGTGTATTTTGTTTATGTTTTTTTTTTTAAATGAGGAGCTTTGGGCCTTCTGATGTCGCCAACCAAAACCAAACCTGTTGCCACTGAGTTGATTCTGACTCATGGTGATCTCATGTGTTACAGAGTAAAACTGTGCTCCATAGGATTTTCTTGGCTGTAATCTTTATAGAAGCAGATTGCCAGGCTTTCCTTCCTTGGCACCTCTAAATGGGCTTCAACCACCTACATTTAGGTTAGTAGCCGAGCACAAACCATTTCGCGACCCAGAGACTTCTGACATCGCCAGAGGTTCAAAATTAGAATGGTAATATTTCAGTCCATTTATAACTCCATATGAAGGACTTTGATAAATGGTAGTGACTTCAATTGTTGGGGCCAGTGGTGCAGTTTAGATGTACAGGGACCAGTTTCCCCTGACCAGTTGCTGGTGATCCAGCCATGCTCACTTCCTCCAGCACCTTGCAGATAACTGATGGCCCATGCTACACACTGACCATCACTGTGCCGCTATAAAATTAAGGGATCATGCAGCGGAGAGACACTGAGACCATAGTAAGAGATGGACCTGCCACCCAGATGTTAGATCCAGGTGAAAGGCTAATGAAAGGCAGCTATTGCAACTATATAAGGTATTTTTATTGCAGTGTCAGGATTACATGGCTGAGGGTATATGAACCTTAGTAAATCCCACCTCAGTGCTTTGCCCAAAGGAGCAGGACTTCACCTAGAATAGGCAGAGAAAGTTTGCCATACACCCAAGCTGGTCTCCGATGGCAACGAGGGAGACTCAAAAGCTCACTTCCAGAACACCTGGTCCTGTTATCTTCTGGCAGGAGTGGCTGAGACGGTACCATTCCCCTCTCCCATTAACTGTGATGTTGGATGGATTCATGTGCCAGGGGGTCCACCCTCCCAAATCCTGCAGCCCGTCCACACAGATGGGTTTGCCTTGGATTGACTTACTGTTCTGGAGACCTTAGTAAGGGTAAGGGAACCATCAGGGGAGGAAGAAGATTGGCAGTGCTAATGAATGCCTGAGAAAAATGCTCAACTTGACAGAAAGTACAGTACTGAGCTCTCTGAGGCTTCCTGTGATGAGGACAGGATGGCCCTGGCAGGCACTGTCACCCCAAATCCTCAAACCAGTTGCCACTGAGTTGATTCCAACTCATGGGGACCCTATGTGTGTCAGAACAGAAATGAGCTCCATAGGGTTTTCAGTGGCTGATTTTTCAGAAGTAGATGTTGTTGTGTGCCATCAAGTAAATGACTCATAGCAACCCTATAAGACAAAGTAGAACTGCCCCATAGTGTTTCCTGGACTGTAAGTCTTTATGGGAGCAGATTGCCAGGTCTTTTCTCCTGTGGAGCCATTAGTGGGTTCAAACCATGGACCTTTCGGTTAGCAGCCAAGTGCTCAGCTGGGTGGTGCAAAAGGTTAAGTGCTCAACTACTTGCCAAAAGTTTACCATTTGAACCCTCCCAGAGGCACCTCAGAAGACAGGCCTGGCAATCTGCTTCTGAAAAGTCACAGCCTTGAAAACCCTGTGGAGCAGTTCTGCTCCACACACAGGGGTCGCCATGAGTCGGAATCTACTTGACGGCAACTAACAACAACAATAACAACAAGGACGAAGTGTGCCAGCTGCTCTGGGACTCAGTTTGGCTCTGCCCTCGCTGGCCTGGGTGATACCAGGAGTCCTCTAACACTTCAGAGGCTTGGCTTCTCCATCTGTAAAGAGGGCACGAATAAGATCTGACTCTCAGGTGTGTTGTGAAGATAAAATGAGATGACACATGTAAAGCCTAATAGCATGGTGCCTGACAGAGTCTAAGGAGGATACTATTATTATTATTCATATCTTGCCAATCCTTCCTTTATTCAAAATTCTTGTCTAATGAAGGGCATAGTGTACATTCTGCTTTAATCTTTTTTTTTTTTTTTTAAATTTCCTAGGTTACCTGTGAATTAACTCTCAAAGAAGATAAGGATGATGTTCTTTTATCCTCAAAAAAGCTTCTTAAGAGGGAACAAAGCATCATGGTGCAAAGTACTGAGTCTCTGACAGGTAATGTGATTAAACCTCATGATGAAGGATCAGTTAGTTTTTTGTTTTTAATTTATTGGGATAAAATATATTTAACAAAATTTGCCTCCTCGAGGGCACAGACCCAGAATACCAATATGCCCAACCCATTGGGTGATGCCGCTTCGCCCTTTTCCCAGCCTCATGCCCTGCCCCCTCAGGTATCCCTGTGAATTCCTGAGACTAGATCAAACAGCAAGTTTTTAGCAATACTGTAATGTGCTGATGACAAGGAGAGAGACAGTTTTATTCTCTCTATTGCCTCTTTGTCCCAGACCCCAACACAATAGTTTATCTTGAGTCCTCCTACTTTTAGATTGGCTTCATCACTCCTTACATTTCCATACCATGAGCTTCTAGAGATTCTGTGTCCTAGGCATCTCTATTTCCCAAAGACTTAGCAGAGGGCTTGGTACAGAGATGGTGCTCAGTAAATGTATAAACCCCAAACCCATTGCCGTCGAGTCGATTCCAACCCATAGTCACCCTATAGGACAGAGCAGAACTGCCTCATAGGGTTTCCAAGGAGCAGCTGGTGGATTCGAACTGCCGACCTTTTGGTTAGCAGCCATAGCTCTTAACCATTGCACCACCAGGGCTCCCAGTAAATGTACAGGATTCAACAAATGTTCCCTAGTCTGCAGCAATACCCCTACATTAAAAACTGCCCTGAGCTCCCTGTACTCAAGCTCAGTATCTGTCATGGATTGAATTGCGTCCCCCCAAAAAAATGTGTGTAGCAACTTGGCTAGGTCATGATTCCCAGTATTATATGATTGTGTTATCTGATGTGATTTCCTTATGTGTTGTAAACTCTATCACTATGATGAGATTATATGTGATCTCCTTATGTGTTGTAAATTCTTTCACTGTGGTGAGGTTATACTGATAAGGTTGACAAGATTAGATAGTGTCTTGATGCAATCTCTTTTGAGATATAAAAGAGAGAAGCGAGCAGAGACGCATGGGAACCTCATACCACCAAGAAAGCAGTGCTGGGAGCAGAGCGTGTCCTTTGGACCTGAGGTTCCTGTGCAGAGAAGCTCCCAGACCAAAGGAAGATTGATGTCACAGACCTTCCTCCAGAGCCAACGGAGAAAGCGTTCCCCTGGAGCTGATGCCCTGAAATTTGGACTTGTAGCCTACTGGACTGCGAGAGAATAAACTTCTCTTTGTTAAAACCATCCACTTGTGGTATCTTTGTTAGAGCAGCACTAGATGACTAAGACAGTATCAAAACTTGTTTATCCATTGATTTGTTGATGGGCATTTAGATTGTTTCCACCCTTTGGCTGTTATGAATAGTGCTGCAATGAACATTGGTGTACAAGCCTCTGAGTCTCTGCTTTCAAATTTTTTGGGTATATACCTAGGAGTGGAATTGCTGGGTCATATGGTAGTTCTATTTTTAATACTTTGTGGAACCACCACACTGTTTTCCACAATGGCTGTACCATTTTGCATTCCCACCATTAGTGAATAATGGTTCAAGGATGTAATCTTTACAGAAGCAGACCACCACATCCTTCTCCATCAAGCGAATAAAAGGGTAAAGAGCTTGCAGGCAGAAAGAAATACCTTGTGCAAATGCATAAAGGTATGAAACTCTTACGAAAAAAACTGACATATGTTTTACTGTGACTGGCTGGTGGGAAGTGGATGGAAGAAGCTGAGATTCGAGATACAAACAGGGACCAGATGCCAGAGGGTCTTTGTTGTATGTCCTCCCAAGGGGATCCTTGTGAGAACAAGCTGAAGAATGGATTGGAGCTACGTGAAACCAGATGCAAGGCAAACAGTTAGAAGGATGTTATCTGTACCAGAACCCATGCCCACAGTAGCTATAGATTCTTAGGGTCACAGGATAAATTAAAAGAAGGCAGAGAATAATCTCAATCACAGAAATTTAGAAAGCGTACTGACCATATGGTGTCCAATGCCACTTTCCTCGCCTGATTAAAAAGGCAAATGTTCACAAAGATTTTATAAGCCCAGATATTGCAATGTCTTTTTATGTCTCCACTAAATTCCACTCCTCTCTTCACTGTAACTACCCCCCCAAATCAATGAGGCATGAGAACTTCCTGATGTTTATCATGTCCTGGAGCCTTATCTTGTCTTTTGAAATGCACTCATTCATCTAGTGGCCAAATTGCTCTGCATTCCATGCTATGCATCAAAAATCCTAAATTATAGAGATTATGTATTTGATATTGGGGGTGGGGCACTCATTTCTTATTTTTCCCTTCCTCATAAAGTGATATAGCTTGCCTTAGGCAAAGCCTTAACAGATACATTCTCAAGTGATAATTTGAGAATGGTAGCAGCAACACCAAAGTCATTATTCAAGCACAGACTCATTTGTCTTTGAAGCGAGATGCCAAATCTTTAGCAAAGAATATGGAAGAGGTAAATATAAATATTTTATGCCCTCCAAAGTTCATTTCAAAACCTTTTGAATATTAGACCTTTGTATGAGCAATATTCAACTTCTGTGTTTCATTTGCACAATTTTAATTTGTAAATAATTTTCTAAAAACAACTGACCGTTGAGAGGTGGCGACTGCTTGAACTAAGGCAGCTGCAATGGGGATAGAAGGATCTAATGGAATGGGTAGTGAATTCACAGGAACTCATGACCTCAGCCAGAATGCTCCCTAGAAGCAAGGATGGCAAGACTACGTCTCACATACTTTGGACATGTTATCAGGAGGGACCAATGCCTGGAGAAGGGCATCATGCTTGGTAAAGTAGAGGGTCAGTGAAAAAAAGGGAAGTCCCTCAGTGAGACGGATTGACACAGTGGCTGCAACAATGGGCTCAAGCATAAAACGATTGTGAGGATGGCGCAGGACCAGGCAGTGTTTTGTTCTGTCGTACGTAAGGTTGCTATGACTTGGAACCAACTCGATGGCACCTAACAACATGACCTATAGGATGTGAGGAGTGAAGAAGAAGCCTTCAAGTTTCTTGGATTGGATGATGGGATTGATATGGAATCATTACTCACGATAGAGACCAAAAAGAGAGATTAAATGTAGAGGAAAGGCAATGAGGTTTTGGACGTGGTAAATATCAGGTTCTTGGTCAGAGAGAGGTTAAGAGGGTTTTGGACATGTGAATGTGGAGCTCAGTTGAGCAATCAGAACATGGAAATACAGATTCTGAAGTCATCAACATATGGAGAATAATGGTAGTCTTGGTCATGTGTGAGTCCAAGAACCCTGAGAAGTAAGCCCAGCATTCAAAGTGTCTTTGCCCCTAAGAGCAATCACAAAGAAATAGCTTGAAACTAAGGGACTCTTTGGAGGATTCAGAGAGCTAGGGAGCGAAAAATCAAAGTAAAATGTATTAAGTTTGACCTAAAGGGGTCTGTGGGTCTCTTGGATGGTCTGTCAAGTGTGGCACAAGAAAGTGAAACTCGTGCAGAAAGGCCAGAAAACAAATAGAATTTATTACTCACAGGTCCCAGAGAGGAAGCCACAGCACATCTCTGCACAGGGTACAAGATAACAACAAATTAGAATTGTTGTTGGATGCCATCGAGTTGATTTCAACTCATAGTGACCCCATGTGACAAAGTAGAACTGCCCCGTAGGGTTTTCTAGGCTGTAATCTTTAGGGGAGCAGATCACCAGGTCTTTTTCCCACAGAGTCACTGGGTAGATTTGAACCTCCAGCCTTTCAGTTAGCAGCTGAGTGCTTAACCATTGCACCACCAAGGCTCCTGGAATTGTAGGACAGAGCTTATGTATATCAAGCAACATGAGGTCCTAGGGTTAGCATGCTCTGAAATCTTACTGGTCAATTTAAAAGTTTCTAATGTATTAGTGTGGGAAAAGGGAGAAGTTTTTTTAAATCATGGGAAGCTATATGGGACTTGGCTGGGAGAGGCAAAGAGTAACTACAGTCATTGAGAGACTGGATTATAAGATCGTAATGGGTTCCTTTCACAGGAAACCATATGAAGCATGCCCGGGAGGGCCAGTTAGGGACTACAACTGTTGACAGCCTGTATGATAAAATAGGAACAACCACGTCAGAAGCTGGGTGGAAGGGCAACTAGGCGAAGTTAATGAATGCTGAGGCAGCAAACTACATAGGCTGCAAATGGGCCTTATGACACAAGGACCAGTGCAAAGTGGTAACTCAGATAAACCACTCTTCACTTGAATTAAGATGGTCATGGACTGACAATAGCCTCCCCAGGTACCTGCCAGAAATATTCTCTCCAGAGAAGATATCATTTATTTTAGCTTCCAAAGAAGAATAAAAGATAATCACTCACATATAAAAATGAATGAAAACTAGGAGAAAAAAAACAAACAGAAACAAACCTCAAAGACTTTAGATATTGGATTTATTAGATTCAATTATAAAATAACTATATTTACTATGTCTGAAGAAATAAAAGCCAAGCTTGAAAATTTTGCAAGAGCCTGAAACACATAAAAGCTGACACAGCAGATCAGATTTGAAATAAAATTCAAATAGTAATTTTAGAATTTAAAATGCAATAAAAATTGAGATTTCAATGGATATGATAGGCAGCAGATTAGAAACAGCTAAAGAGAAACTGATGAACTGGTTAGAAGATGCTTTCTAGAATGCAACACAGAAAGACAAAAAGATAAAAAAAAAAAAAGATGAGACACAGACAATACAGTGAAAAAGTAAAACATATGTATAATTGGAGACCCAGAAGGAGAGGCAAAGGAAAGTGAGGCTAAGTCAACATGTAAAGTGGCAATGGCTGAGAATCTTCTAGAACAAATAAAGATATTAAGTCACAGATTCAAGAATCCAAAATTCCAAACACAATAAAAAAAATTTTTTTTTAAATTTTCCCCTAAGCAATTTATAGTGAAACTTCAGAAAGAAACACAGACAAGGAGAAAATATGGGTAAATATAAATAAGTATTGACTATAAACAACAACAATAATAGTATCTTGGTTGCTTTATTTAAGGTAAAGACTTAAAGCACAGAACAAAATAACAAATAAGCCAGAGGTGTAAAGAGAATTAAGGCGTTCTAAGATCTTGTGGAAAGGAAAGTATGTTAATATAAATTAAAAATATGTGTTGCAACATCTAGAGTAATCACTAAAAGAATGGAAACAGAGTTTATTATTTCCAGTTAGTAGAAGGGGAAATTGAATAACAAAAATTATTCAATCTAGAAGAAGGCAAAAAATAAAGGAGAGAAAAATATATATAGGTTG